TAGCCAAATTTCATAATTAGCGTTGCATGGTCTTCGGCGGCTACTGTATGTCTCTGGTGGTGTGTTCGAGCGAGAATCCGAAATGTCGGGCCAATAAAGCTCTTGTTGCAGTAATCGTGTCTCCCTATCCGATCTATGTTTAGGTTTCACCCCATTGGTTTATTTGCCGCAGGCTACCTTGTTTCTCTGCAGAATTAACTCATGATACCTCTAATTCCCTGACACAGTCCCTGATTTAAATCGTTTGTTAGTCAATTCATGGTATCGCGAAGAAACTTCATACCTCGTCCCTTTTTATATGGGTTGTTGATGTTGAAAATGTTTCTTAGCCATGAAGCTTAAACTCACCGAAAAAGGTCTTTTTCATTATCTGTGACGTTTTAGACCCAATCTTCTCTCACTGCCACTGTCTGAGGATCTGAAGCGACAAGTGAGTCAATTTCTTTGATCAGCACTCTCCTCTCATCGTTCATCTGATTTCTACTACTTGATTGCGTTTTCCGGGAGAATATATGCATTTACAGTATATGTGCTATCATGAAATGTTAACCGAAGTTATGAAATGTATTCTCAATTCAAATGCTTACTTAATTAAGGTCATGTAACGCAATTGTAAAATATTTCATTGCAGTCAGGATGCCTACTTTTGAATTAAAATCTCTTCGGCCGTCCACAAAACCACACACAGAAAATAAATATTTAAGTAGTATGCATTTTTTCTATTGATTGCTAATGTTCTAACACACAAAAATATCTTATAGTAAACATTTATGAAAATATCCTTTTCTGTGCTAATTTGGTGGAAAATTACGCCTTCATACTTTATGTCTGAATAAGGGTTATCTCTCGGTTTTAAAAGCTTTTCAATTCCCGCATGATTTCGAACCCCGCCTGCATTCAAAGTTTGAAAAGTACAGGTGATATGCCTCCCGTCTAAATAAACATTTTTTGCTATATCAGGCGGATGTTCTATGGGACTTACAAAAAATGGCAATTTATTTGATCTATATTGTATACTTTATAAACAGCCTTAATAACTGGGTAGATGCGATGTTTTATAAACACCGTGGAACCTCGGTTTACGCGTTTACTCCGTTCCCGCATCGAGCTCGTCATGGTAAGTGCTCATCTTGGCAAACGTAGCCACTTAAATTGCATTTGTTCACTGGTTGACTGCAGGCGGCTGAGAACCCACGCCCTGGGATCAAGACTCAATGGCGGACACAGGCACGCACATACGCACTGACCACTCATTAACTTAGCGGAAGCTAATCAATCCAAACAAATTCTCTGTGGGTGGCTCGCTCGTTACCTGAAGTGCTCGTAGATGGGGCTGCTCATCACCCGATACTCTAGCGATTAATGAAGTATATGGTGAAGCTCGTCGGATTCGACAGCCGACCTGTCACATGTCACTGTATTCGTAGCAGCCGATCCCACCTTCAATCGGCCCCACTGAGACATGGTCAGTGGGAGAAGAGGGAGGAAGCTGATCTAGCGCGTGAACGTCTTAACTGTGACACACATTTGAGCGATGCGCTAACAATTGTGGCGTGGTAGACTGTGGATTCAGAAGACTAATCGGTGAACATGAATGTGTGCTTTCGATAAGTTGTCATCGGGCTAAACTGCGGATCGACGGAGTGAATTTGTGTTTTTTCCGAGTTGGAGGTCAGACTGCGATTTACCCCTATCCTCCCCCCTTCAAGGTGGCAACTCTCCTCAATGAAAAATTAGAGAATCTCTAGTGACGCATTTGTAGGCCAGCCTGCATATTGATTCGGCCACCTTACTGACGGCCATTTACTTTGACTCTGTTCTGCCGACGAGACACTGCAGTTGTTACAGCGAAAGCACCCCCCACTATAATTCAGTCTACGCGCCAGTCGCCACCTTCAATTTTTCCCGTTAAGTTAAGAATACTTGAGGAAAATTAAATAATCGCTCTGTCACTTATGCGCGTCATGCTACAGGGACAAAACTAACCTAGAGGAACAAAATATGAGCCCGGGGTGGAGAAGTGTTTGTCTGCGCGTTTCCAAACATGCTATGTCCTCTATTCTAAGCGTACCATTTTTTGCACATAAAGTCATCGGTTTTTTGAGAGCCACACCGGTTAATCTTTTCTGATTCCGTTTGCCATTCGTAGCGCCTGCCGCACTTAACTCCACTTCCTGGGGGCTCATAGCTGAAAGTTGGGAGCCAAGTTAAGTCAGACTGTATGAGGACGAATTCCTGGTAACAACTGTTAATTCATCACGTTGACTGTCCCTTGCTGAGATCTCCGTACACCCAAGATGTAGGACCGAGGGGTTTTGCTGCTTCATAAGTCGGCTTTTGCAATCGAATTTCCGTTTGTCGAGATTATTAATATTTGAAAAGATACAGCTCGACAGTTGTGTACACATACTTTTTGGTGGCTAGTCTCTGGGTTTAGAAACTAGTGGAAAATCGCCCGTTGTATGTTTCGTTGCCGCGGAAACAGTGTGCCGGTTCCGCCAATGAGAAACAGTTTTAATATAACCTTTAGTGCCTGCCTCTCGCTCTTAAATGACCACGTAGACGGATTTTATTTAAAAAGCAAAACATTTTGCCAGGCGAGCCAGTATCTTTGGACTGCATTTTGTCTTCTCGCCATTGCATCGGTTTGTCTCGGTTTTAGATGGACTCGCGCGTGTCAGAGACCCGGGAGGGCTACCTGAAGCAGTTGCAGCGCATGCAGGCGCCCAAAAAGATCAAGACTGTGAAGTTTTCCAAGCCTCTTTATTCTCTCTCGTAAATCAGTCATTTAACTCAAATATTGCCACCCTTTGTTATTTTTCTGAAAAAATCGAGCTGTTTTAGGGCTACCTTTGTGCCAGCACTTAGGGATGGTTGTACATTCACTTGCGTGCACTTCTCGGCATAGAAATGCTAAACTCTAACATTATTGGATGGACATGTTCCACCTTCTTCGTCTTATTGTTAGTTAACGAATACGTTTTATAGCAAGCCTTTTTTTTTAAGTTCAGAAGAATCCTTCTCGCTTGTTAAAAAAAGCAGTTTCTGCTTTTTATGTACTATTGACAGTTCGAATGCCATAGCTTCGACTGACGAACCATGTTTGGAGTTTAATTCACCGCCCATAAAGATCGTTCTTATAACAGAAGCATAACGTTCGCTTCGCCAACTTAAATAGTTGAGTGACACCTCATGACTAGGTGAAAACGGTAAAGACTAAATTTGAGAGAAGCCTGGATTCTACTGTTTTATTTAAACGAGAATTAGCCGATTGTCGGGATCTAGCATGCCATCCACAATGAATTGTGGTGGTCGCATCCGTCTGAACCAATTCTGGTTCTAGAGGATCGGAATAGGTGCTCAATTTTGTAACTCATATAGGATGTACTCAAGTAATAAGAATTCATAAATTTTAAAACGACATTCTGTGGAGTAGCCATTCCCAGTGCGTCGAGCCTTATAACGGGGGGTTTGAACTTGAGGCTTTTTTTACAAGTGTCAATGCCCTCCGTAAAATTTGTTCTTTGCAATCTTAGGTGCGTCTTTATACAGATAAAAGAAGTTTAAAAAAATAATTCCTTGAACAGCTTACTGTTATATAAGCCGACTAGTGTATAGTGTGTGGATGAAGGTGAACCAAAAATTCATCTTCAACCTGTGGCTCCTAATAGGACTTGCAGAATGCCCTTCTTCCGTGCAGTAGTATGCGCCGGAAGATCTATTGGCTTTCTGGAGAAAACACTATCCCAGTGAATGGTGGGAGTCGCGAACAAGCATTCACTAATTATGTTGAACTTGCCAAAGATACAATGGCACACACGTCGATAGTGTTACACGAACTATGAAAGAACCGTTTATCGCTCTGTCTTAGCGAATCTCAACCCTACCTGGCACAAACGGGCACATATAGGGAGCAGGCAGTGTACGAGGCATACATACTTTTAAATCTCTTTCTATTTGTGTACGCTTTATTCCGTAACCGTTTTACCTGACCCAAAATCCCATTTTCTAATCTTCTCCTAGGTGGGAGAGTTTGACTTCTACTGTCGTTGAAATGTTTGACCTGCTGGATGCAGAACAGGTTAGTGAACTTTTCCTCATCACTAATTGCTTTCTGATTCTATCAAAATACTTGCTCTAGGCAAATACATCTTGTATAGTGTTCTAGACACCCTTTTAGGTGTGCATACCGACGGAAGGCGTCGTTATAGGTACTTGATAATCAAACAACTTGATTTATGATGAGCGCGTTAACCCCGAGACCAAGAAAGTTTGGGGCTATAGACAATGTGCAACGCCGAAACCCGTATAAAAATGCATACTTCCTTTGCTTCTTTTATCTCTTTTACTTTAGCATTTTGCCATTTCTCGTCTAAGTATTTGCTTTAGCCAAGGGTACGGTTACCCACATCCAGGTGAGCATACCATCGTGATTATCTAAAGGCACATGTTGCATTTTGCTGTACACTTGTTCATCGTGTAGGGCCGCTGGAGCACGGACTTGTTCAGCTAAGCATGCCATTGTTAATATCTAAAGGTACATGCAGTATTTTACTGTACACTTATTCATCATGTAGAGCTGCTGGAGAAAGGATTCGTTCAGTTCAGTTCAAGGAAAGATAGGCGAACGTCTTTGAGCTCTTTTTTGGTAAAATGTCTAAGGAATCCATGAATACATAAGAAAAATTAGGAAAAAAGATGTTGTTTACATAATTGCAGACGAAGCGGACGATCGTAGGCTAGTCGAAGATAGTGAGTATATTCAACTACTAACTTATTATAAGTAGCATACATACATGCAATTTATTTGATCGCGTATATTAGCGTGCAGCTGGTGAATGAGAATCCCGATGCATGTTCTGTTTGCTCTTAAATGAATTCACACATGTAGACAGAATAAAACCTTCGGGCAGAGCGTTGGACGCTAAAACCAGTCTGTCACTGAAGAAAAGCTTGCGTCTATCCATCCTGGCTTTGCCTAGGCGTAGTATTAGGTGATGTCCGCGCTAAGTATGCGTGTTAGCCTGAGTGAAAAAATTATCGGG